GATCAACCCTAAGCACCCAATCATTAAGGAGCTTCGGTTGAGAGTAGCAAAGGATCCAAAGGTATATTTCATTATGTCTCTCAAATCTTAAAATATTGAGTTGTTCTCAATATTTGATTTATAGGATGACAGTGCAAAGGAGATAGCAAAGATCATGTACGGCATAGCTTTACTAGAGAATGGCTTGGAGCTTAATGACTTAGATATTGCTGCTTCCCATCCATACAACTTAGTTCAAAGATTTCTGAAAAGTTGCCCTACAATAATAAAGGAAGAAGTAGAACCGAAGGCTGAAATCGAAGGGGGAAGAGTTAGAGATATTTTTGAAAAATGTTTCCTCTGCCTTGGAAGAATTCACATTCAAGCTCAACTTCAAACCAAAGGTCAAAGAGTTAAAGTAGGGGTAAGTAATACCCAAAGTTGGATTAGTAATTGGCTCAGTCTGAACTAAAATGGTATTTGTTTAACTGTATATGCTTGCTATCTTGAGATATTTTGCTTTGCTTTTATTTTCTTCTGGTTCTCCTTATTTTGTAACATTTTAATCTCTTAATTTCTTCTAAATCAGAGTTTCATAAATTTGAATCTATGAGATAAATTGCTTTATGCTTTTGCTCCTGTGTAAAGTTGCTTTCTTAGAGGATTCTTTATGATCCACTTGGTTTTGTTTGAAATGGAATTAATAGCTTTTGTCTCTTTAGAAGTTGGAGTATGCGATAGGAGATCAAGAAGTATTAGTTGGTGCTTTTCTCTTAACTGGCTTCTGGTATTGTTTGATGAACTGAATATTATAGAGGCTTTGTTCATCTATTATTTTAGTTGCAATGCCATATGAGCTTTTATTTCAACATTTTGACAGGCTATTGATCATTGATGAATATTTGGCATCAACACAGGCCGAGATCTTTCAAAAGCAGTTCTCTATGTAAGTCTAAACTTCTGATCTTCTCCCACGGTTGATTGCTTGCTCTTCCTGCATCTAGTCCATCCTATTAAAATTTTCCTGTGGTCAAATGTTGATTCCATAATGGAATTTCCATTGTTTAAATGATCTTTCAATTCCAAGGAAAGGTCTATGATAGGGTAAAATTTTGTTGGGAAACAAAATGGTACTACATCTGGAAACTAAAATCTTGACCTCATTCAAGGATGGAAAACTTGAAAAACTCCTCTTTTCAGCCAACCGGTCAATTAAATCGTGGTAGTAATTTGGCTTTTCGCCATGACAACAAACATTAACTTGTCAGGTGGAAGGTAGACTTTTTGTGAGAACTGAAGCTGAAGGAAAAGTCAGATGCATGTATTTAACTACCAATCAACCCTGTGCCTTTTGATGAAACAAAAAGTTATGGTCAAATGGATATGTCTATTAAATCACACATGTCTTCTCTTCATTATTTTCAACTCGATTTGCAGTCTGGATGACCGTAGCAAAAGCCAATCTATAACCAAAGCCCTTTTGGTTTCAGGTAGTGCAACATATCAGAAGATCAAAGGAGGTTGGATGGATACATCAACAGGTTGAAGTCTGCAACTGCTAGATTGGAAGTTGCTGAGTTTTAGTATCTTAATTGCAAACAATGGAATGGCTGCATTCCCTATTTATCTTTGTGTTGCTCTACCAACTGTCATGTCTTGATCTTTTAAGCCAACTAGTAAACTGAACACCACAATGGCTTCTGGCACAAAATACTCTTAAGTTTTGGATTTATTTCAAAAGTTTAGGTTAATGTTAGTAGTTTCATATGGTACTTGCTAAGATGGATTTGCTTGAAGGAAAGACTGATTTATTTCGTGTTTCGTAAGATGAAGATGCTGGTTTGCAGGATCTAAATTTTTGAGGTAGACTTTGCTACACCAAATTTTGGACTTGAAAGTCTGAATCAGATTGAGCTAAGGTTGCCTACATCTTGGCTTGGTTCACTCTTACAGCCCCTAACCTGCTTACTTGTCTAAGTACTTGTGAATAAAAGAAACCATATGGAGTTACATTAGTCAGTACTGAAATTGTATGCCCAAACTTCATCAAAAGACCATCTTTTCCCTGTCTTAAGTTTGGAATCCACAGCTTCATTAACCATAGGATTCTTTGTTGGTTACTGGTAAACTATGGTCTTGTACGGATTTTCCCTTCTCTTCATGGAATAGAGAATGTTTGATATTTCAAGTTAAAATTTTAGAACGACATTGTTTACGAGGATGGTTCGATTTTGTTTGTGTGAGGAGTTTTTGGTTTCATGTTGACTTGTGTTTGCAGCTTGTTATTATCAAAGATTGTTTGATATTATGACTGTTGGTGAAAAAGAACACCTTAGGATCACATAAGACTATATTGCAAGTTAAAGCACTCCATGATCTTTGTTGCTCTAGAAAAAAAGGCAGCCTGGTGCACTAAGTTCCCACTATGCGCGGGGTCCGAGGAAGGGCCAGATCATAAAGGTCTATTGTACTCAGCCTTACCCTGAATTTCTGCAAGAGGCTGTTTCTACAGCTCGAACCCGTAACCTCCTGGTCACATAGCATCAACTTTACCAGTTGCTTTAGAAAGCTATTTAAAATTAAAAGCACTTGAAGTAGCACAATGGCAGTAGGATATATGATGCAAATAGAAAAGGATATATATTAAGTTCGAGCAAGCATAACACAGCTTGTGGAAATGGAACTTGTAAACTAGGCAGAATCTTTTTCTTCAGAGGATGGCAACAAACATCTGTAGAAGAATTCTACTATGCATCTACCTATCTGGTTGAATTGGTCACAAGTTTTATCTAACGGGTTAAACTTGTTTGTAACTCCATTATACCTATCTTATTAAATAGTTCACAACTTTAGTCTGCAAGGCTAATCTTGCCGAATTATGACCAAATGCATAAACTTTTAGTTTTTGCAAACAAATCTATTCAATTGTTCACAAGCTTAATCGACGGGTTAAACTTAGATTTACACATTCCTTTCAAATTTCAAATACCACCAGCTTCAGAAGAAGAAGAAGAGAGCGGTGATGGAAGCAGCGATGTTTAAAGAGTGTGGTCCATCACTTGTGAATCAATTTTATTTTGAGATAGAGAATTTGGAGTTACATAACTAATATAAGGAGTATTTAACTGAAATAAAGTTTTCACGGGCAAAACTCCTCTGTTTTCAAGTGAAATTTATGTCCAAATACAATTGACTCGTTCAAATATCTTTTTTTTGTAACTACAGTTTCAAATACATTCTTTTTCTTTTCAATTTCAACCAAAAATTGTATGCCTACTTAAAACTGGAATAATTTCAGTAACATTTGATGACCCGTATACATATCTTATAAGCTTTGTGATTAGCTGCATCAGCTAATATGTGGTTGATGGATAATCTTCTAAAGCTGCAACTCAAGACTTCTTGTACATATTCCACCTCATTTACGGGAGTATTTCACTTTTTTTCCCAAAATGAAGACCATAAATCAGCTTCAGTAGCCATAGGAGTCTTTGCTGGCAAACAATTGTTGTGACCCTTATCTGTACGGATTTCCCCATCTGCTCCTCGTGAATTGAGCAGTTGTGTTGATCAATTTATAATGTAGTAATGTGTAACTGCACTTCAATGGATAAGTAATTGGCACATTCCGTTCTCAATTCCTAAGTTTTTTTTTTTCTTTTTCTCTTCGCTTTCTTTAATAAGAATTGTGATAATGCATCCCAATGAGCTAAAATGGTATCTGTTTAACTGTATATGCTTGCTATCTAGGGGGATTTTACTTTACTTTTATTTTCTTCTGGTTCTCCCTTTTTTTTAATAACTTGTTAATATTTTAATGTCTTCTAAATTTGAGTTTCATAAACTTGAAACTATGAGATAAATGATCCTGTAAAGTTGCCTTCTTAGAAGATTTTTGTGATCCAATTGGTTTTGTCCTTTTGTTCGAAATTGAATTAATAGCTTTCGTCGCTTCAGAAGTTGGAGTATGCCTGATGGGGTTACAGTACCTTAGTTTTATGTTTTGATGATCTAACAAACTTACTGTCAAAGAACCAGATAACGAACCTGACACACTTGATTCGTAACTCAAATCAACAGACTTTAGCTTATGAGAGTTGCTATGACTTCAGAGGATAGAGAATCAACACAGGGACCTGATACCCTTGTGTTTCCCTGATAGCAGTACGAAGTCAACTGTCTACAGCTGGAAAGTGATTGCCTGCATTGTGCACAGAAACAGTGCAGCACAGTTCTGCAGTCACTTCTCATTTGACCTACCAAGTGATTACATCATTCAAGTGATGTCGTCCATGTTGTATTAACATTAAACATTACAACAAAACATCACTTGAACACTTGAGAAATCATTCAAGCACTCCAACCGTTTTGCCTGCCAAGCATTCAATTCTCAAGTGCATCAAGAACAAAGAACAACACTACTACAGACCAGTTCCTACAACAAGTATCTTGTATGTCCTTAGTTGAGTTGTAACTTTGTAGTTGTTCTTAATTGTAATTCCTACTTTGCTTATCTAGAAGCGTGATCCAGGAACCCCTTGTAAACCATACACCTTTAGTGTTTGTGTTGTGACTAGAGTTAGTCATGTGTTGAAGTCTTTGTAATAAGTGTATTGCAAAGTGGCTTGTAATAGGTGTATTACAAGTTAGCGAGGGATTAAGAGTTTAACTCCTAGATTGCATAGGTTGTAATCTAAAGTTGCTCATAGTGAAGTTGAAATCCTATCAGTGTAGGTCGTGGTTTTTTATCCCCTTGAGCAGGGATTTTTCCACGTAAAAACTCCCTGTTCTCTTTACTTACTGTTATATTAGCATTCTCAATGGAAACTCATGTAAAACCTGGTCTCTATATAGTTTGGTGGACTCATATATTCTATCAATTGGTATTAGAGCGTGTTCTTTCTATCAGGTTAACACCCAGAAAGGATCCTCATGGATTCTCCACCAAATTTTGAAGAAGGTCAGTCTATATATAGACCACCAGGTTCAATGGGCAATACTATGGGTGGTGGAAGACAAGAATGCATGACTTCATCATGGCAGAAGATTCTGAGTTGTGGGATGTTATTTGTGATGGTCCTTATGTCCCAAGGAAGAAGGTTGGAGACCCTCTTGTGACGATGCCTAAAACCAGGAAAGAATACAATGATGCAGATAGGAAATCTGTTGAGAAAAATTTTCGTGCTAAGAAAATTTTGGTGTGTGGCATAGGACCTGATGAATACAACAGGATCTCAACCTGTCAATCTGCCAAGGAGATGTGGGAAGCTTTGCAAACAGCTCACGAGGGAACCACTCAAGTAAAGCAATCTAAGATTGACATGCTCACCACCGAGTATGAACGCTTCAGAATGAAGGACGATGAATCCATTCAAGATATGCACACAAGATTCACTTCCATCATAAATGAGTTACACTCGCTTGGTGAAATTATTCCTAGGAACAAGCTCGTGAGGAAAATTCTCAGTGTCCTGCCCAGTTCATGGGAGAGTAAGGTGAATGCTATTACTGAAGCAAAGGATTTGCAAGAGCTAACCATAGATGAGTTAGTCGGAAATCTGAAAACCTACGAAATGAAGAAAAAGAAGGACAGTGAAAGAAGAGAACCAAAGAAGAAAAGGAACCTGGTACTCAAAGCTGAAAGCAATGACTCAAGTGAGGAGGACAATGACATGGCTTACTTATCCAAAAGGTTTCATAAGATGGTCAGAAGAAACGGAGGGATACTTAAAAGAGGCAGTTCCAGCACACCAAAGAATTATGACCTTTGTCATAAATGTGGAAAGCCAGGGCATTTTATCAAGGATTGCCCTCTCCTGAAGCAAGAACATTTCAAGTACAACCCTGACAAAGCAGCAAAGAGGAACCCGGTGCCTGACAAACGCTTTAAAAGAAAGAACGTCGCTGACAATGTTGTAAAGCAAGCCCTTGCAGCATGGGGAGATTCCTCCAGTGAGTCTGAAGAAGAAACTGATACAGGTGATAGCTCTATGATGGCAGTTGAAAGTGAAGAAAATGAATATGATTCAATATTTGCTTTGATGGCTCAATCAGACAATGATGAAGATGATGACAATGATGAGGTAAACTTCAGGGACGTTCAAAGAAATATGAAATCCTACTCTCCTAAAAAACTCATGTCATTAGCAAATGTATTAATTGATGCCTATCATAGTCTTGTAGATGATAAGGATGCCTTGACCATAGAGTTAGGAGATGCGGAACAAACTAGAGATGACTTGGTAGTGTGTCTGGTTGATCTGAAGGAAACAATAAGTGAGCTGGAGAATTAAAAGGTGGTTTTGACTGAAAAATTGTTAGTATAGAACATGAAAGAAATGACTTGATGGTAGTAGTTGTTGACCTAAAAGAAACCATTGAAAATCTAAGTAAGGAAAAGAAGGACTTAGTGGAAAAAATTGATGCCTTAGAGCAAGAAAGAGATAACCTCATAGCTGTGATCATAGATTTGAGGGAAACAATAGAGGAACTCAAAGCAGAATATGGGTCTGGGAGGACTGATAAAGGAAACGGAGTTGCTAGTGAAGCACATATCAGGCTAGAAAACGAATTAAATGCTGTAAAAATTAGTTTATGTGCTGAACTTGAAAAAACTAGGCAACTCCAAGCAGAATTAGATAGAGTAAAAAATGATCTTGAAAAGTCTCTTAAGTGGACCTGGTCCTCGGATGCTATTACTCCATGTATGTTCACAATGGTGGAAATAGGCAGGGGATAGGGTTTCAAAGGGAGAGAACTCCTAAAACCCTCATAGCAAGTATGTTAATGTACCCGATAATTGGTTGTGTACCCACTGTAGGAACAACGGGCATTTCAAAGAAGATTTCCAAGCCAGAGCTCACTCTCTTCAGAAAAACAAATTTTGCTGAAAGAGTAGCTGCTAAAAGGGGACCAGGTGCCACTCATAATAAATGCATATTACCTACATGGACTAAAAGAGCACTTATTCATCCTCTTGCTTATTACAAGGGACCTAAACTTGCTTGGGTTCCTAAATCTAACCCTTGATTTCCTTGTGCAGGGAACAGTAAAAGGAAGCAGTCAACAATGATTCATGGATAGTGGATGCTCAAAGCACATGACTGGGAATACCATGGACTTCCTCTCACTAAAAGCCCTGCAAATATGGAGTGTATCCTTTGGAAATGGGAAAAAAAAGGATACATTCTTGGAGTTGGAAAGATTGGGAAATCACTCACTCACACAATTGAGGATGTGTACTATGTCAATAGGCTCAAATACAATCTCTTGATTGTTTCTCAAATATGTGATAAAGGAAACAAGGTGGAGTTCTTGTCAAAGATATGCACAGTTACTAATCTAGTAACAGGCAAAGTGGTGCTGGTGGCCAAAAGATACAAGAACATTTATGTTGCCGACATTGAGTCTCTACAAAATGGTAATCTGATTTGCTTGAAAGCAGTTGATGATGAAGCTGAGCTGTGGCATAGAAGACTGGGGCACGCAAGTTTTTCTCTACTGAACAAATTAGTTCAAAAGGACCTGGTGCATGGTTTGCCCAAGTCAAAGTTCGCGGAGCACAAAGTTTGTGATGCCTGCACCAAAGGGAAGCATGTGAAATCCTCATTTAAGCGAAACAAGTATGTCAGCACCTCAAAATCACTTAATCTCCTTCATATGGATCTCTGTGGTCCTATGAGAGTGCAAAGCAGAGGGGGGAAAAGATACATTTTTGTGATAGTGGACGATTATTCTAGATTCACTTGGACCCTTTTTCTAAGAACAAAATATGGGAACTTTGAAGTGTTTGTAGCCTTTGTGAAGAAAATTCAAGTGAAGATGGACTCAAAAGTAGCCCGCATAAGATCAGATCAGATCATGGGACAGAATTTGACAATGCCAAGTTTGATGATTTTGGCAACGAGAATGGGATTACTCATAACTTCTCATCCCCCATAACTCCACAGCAAAATAGGGTTGTGGAAAGGAAAAACAAAACTCTTGAAGAAATGGCAAGGACACTGTTGATCGATAGTGGGATTGCGAAGAACTTCTGGCTGAAGCTGTCAGCACTGCCTGCTACTTGGTGAACAGGTGCATGATCAGGTTTCTCTTGAACAAAACTCCCTATGAGTTACTGAATGGAAGAAAGCCCAAGCTGACTCACTTAGCAACATTTGGGTGCAAATGTTATGTTCTCAACAATGGAAAGGATCATCTTGGAAAATTCGATGCCGAGAGTGATGAATGAATCTTTTTGGGGTACTCTTCTCAAAGTAAAGGCTACAAGATATACAACAAGCAAACTCAGTGTGTTGATGAATGTGTACACGTAATTTTTGACGATTCCTATCTCATTTCTGAGAAAAGCAACAAGGGTGATTAAGATGGAGAGCCTTTGTTAGTTCTAGGTGAAGTCATTGATATGGCAAACAGAAAGGAGGACATGATGAGTCAAGTGAAGGAGTCAAGTGAAGACAATGTAGTTCCTTCCTCATCAGCAGGAGAGGAACCAGGTACCACAATTACAACTACTGAAGCTGAAGAAAAAGTGGTTGACGCAGTACAAGGTACTCCACAAGCTGCCGAGAGAAGAATGCTAGGGAACCAATCAGACTTACCCAGCTCCTCTACAAATGAAGCTTAAGTTCCCAACTGGAAACACAAAAGATCCCATCCTCTTGACAATATACTTACCCCTCTAGATTCAGGAGTACAAACCAGATGAAAACCAGAAATTCACTTGCCTTCTCAATACCGTTGCAGGTAGACACACATGATGACTATAGAATCTGTAGATGCACTGCAATGAGTGGTAAAAGAGGATGGAAATTTTGAAAGACAGGTCAAGAACCTGGTTCTTGTACCACAGGTTAGTAGTCTTGTGCTTTTTCATACATATCTTAAAAGGATGCAAAAATCAAGTGCCATGTCATCAACTTTTTCAGACCCTGTATGTCACGTCTTTTCATTTCAAATCTCTTCATCTCCCTCTGAAACGTTACAACTCCCCACAAATACTACTGCCATTTTAGAATTGGTTTCTCTCTCCCTCGTCGTTACTTCTTCTCCCATTAAAACCCTCCCATTTCTTTGAACGATCGTATCTCCTCTTTAGGCTTTCTCCATAACTTTCAAACTTCGTGTCTGCCATGGCTGAAGATCCAACAATAATCCCCTTATTAGTTGAGAAATCCCCAGAGAAAACCCTTGATTCTTTCGCTTCTAGTGAAACACCTCTCACCATCTCCTTTTCACCCACCACTGCAGAGGACATTCCCAAACCTGATTTTCCTACACCCTCTTGTTCTCATGTCACTCTCTCAGAACTCTCTCTCCCTCAAAATGTTGAAAACTCAGAAACCCCAAAATCCGATAACCTTTCATCTCTATCGCCTGAGATTCTCACTGAACTAAGCAAGGGTGGAGAACATAGTAAAGTTCCGCAGGTAGTAGAGTTCTCAGAAGTTAGTATTGATCAGTCTACAATTGTTCTCGCTTTTTGTGTCACCCATGGAGTCTTAAGAGAAAGAGGCCATAGAAAACATATTGGTCATATCTGCTGATGGAATAGTGTATGGGGTGATCTTTGTTGTGCCTGAGTCTCAGAGGAAAGTGACACAATTGTGAGAGGAAGAAGGAGCCGTGGTACTCTTTGAAAATTCTGTACCAGCAGAGACTACTAAGACTCCTCTTGAAGGACCTGACCCTTCTCCTGAGGAAACAGGTCAAGGATCTTCTTCCCAGGTTAGTTTCAACACTGCTCCTTCTCCACACTTTGATGTTCAGCCCTTGGAAATTTCGGCTCCTGGTATGATTTCTAGTGATGAGGAAGATCAAGATGATGTTGCTCTAGATACGTTCATTTCCAAGAGGAGAGCAGTAACCACTCCTGAGCCTTCTCCTAGACGACCTACTACTAGGTTACAAGCAAAAGAGGCCTTTGAGTCTGCCTTGTACAAGAGTAAAAGGAGTAACAAGAAGAAGAAAAGAGGCTAGTGAAAAATGGGGAGGTTGTGGGTGACAAAAACATTCCTGTAGAGGAAGTAGGTAAGGAAGCAGCAGAGGAACCAAGTTCCTTGGTGAAAAGGTCTCAGAAAAAGAAGCGAGAGGAAGGTGTTGCTACACCAAGTTCAAAATCAGTGAAAAGTGGTGGAAAGTTCAAACAAGTTGTGAGTGAACAGTCTTTGTCTGATGAGGATATTTTAGTAAAGTCGAGTGGAAAGGGAAAATCGAGTGTGAAGTCTGGAAAAAGGGAGGTGGAAAATGTGAGGGAACCTGATTATGCAAAGAGAGTGAAGCATGAGAATATGTCTGCTAAGGAACGACTGAGGTACCAGAAAGTTCTGTGGGGTCGTACTTTTGACCCAGAATTCTTTGAAATGGCCGGAATGAGACAAATAATTGACATGGTCGAGTTTCAACAGTGGGGACATCTGTTCAAGGTGGATGTGCCAAAAGTCTATGAGGATGAGGTCCAACGTTTCTATGCAGACCTCTTTCCTGTTGAAACTGATCATATCTGTGCTTTGGTTAATGGAGTTGATATTCTGTTGGATGCTGCTCTGCTTGGGGACATTATTAAGGTCCCTGCTGATGGTATGTCTTCTGTGAAGAATGGGTGTGGGTCAAATTTCCGAAATGCTATTATGAAGGACGGTACAACCCAACGGGGGGAACGGGTCCACAAGAAAGCTCTGCTTCCTGTTTATCAGTTATTGTTTGAGCTGGTGAACAAGGTTCTTCTACCCCATGCTGAGAGAAAGTCAATTACTTCCAAGTCTGACTTGTATCTGATGGAAGCACTAGATGGGTTTAAAGCTGTAAACTTGCCAGCCATCATGATTGAGCACATACAAAATGTGGCAACTTTCAAGGATGGAAACCACAGTCTTCCATATGGATTTCTTCTAAACGCACGTCTTCAAGTTCATCAAAGTGCCTTTGGGATAGCCTAAGATAGGGACCAAGAAGCAGACCTTCTCTCAAACTACTTTGGAGGAATGCGAATGTGTTGAAAAGAATGGAAGGGTAGGCAGCACTTTGACAATCTCTCAGCTCATCAATGCTGAGAGATTATCTGTATATCTTTTTTTTGGTCCATCCTTGGGATAAATGATCTGGCCCTGCAACTAAGTAATTCGAGGCACCATTTTTAATATGTTGATTATCTGTATATCTTTTTTTTGGGCTATTTCTTAGACTGCCTTACTTTTTTTTTCTCTTTTTGGTACCTTATATATATATTGTAGGCAAAAGGTATCAAGAAGTCCATCTGCCAAGAAAGGTAGGAAAGGATAAGAACTTCATTGATCCATTTGGAGAGTTATAGAAATTTATTTGTGATTATTGAAATAGATGTTGTGATTAAAATTGTGACTTTAAATGTAAACATGTAATGTTCATAAACCAAATATTGTAATGGAGTTGCACATATTGAAGCAAACGAAATTGTCAAGGTCTCTGTTTAGCACAATTATAGACTCCATTTTACTCAACTATTCGAAATTATCTAGTAAAGTCATATTTCTTTTGTTTTTAATAGAAAAGTCACGTATCTATGCCTGAAGGTCATTCAACCAAAATTTTCAAAAGTTTGATGACCAAATAACTATTTTACCCTCTAAATTATCAAATTTGTATTTCTTTATATTTTAAATTATAATTTTTTCTCTATAAAATAATAAATTGTGCTTTTAAAATATAGTTTTAAGCATATATTATATTAGAGTAATAAAACAATTTAGCACAGTAAAAAATTTAATTAGAATAATTTTCCCTATTAATAATTTTGAACATAACAATAAAAACACAAAAGTTTATTTACAGAAATGAGAATGAAAGAGAATAAAAGCATTTAAAATACTTTATTTCAAGCATGTAATAGAGAAAAAATAATATTTAAATTTGATGAAATAAATTGTAGAGGGATTTCTTTCAGGATGATTTGGTGGTAGCTGTGATGGGTTTACAGGACCTTAGTTTTGTATTTGGATGATCTAACAAACTTACTGTCAAAGAACCAGATAAGGAACCTGACACACTTGGTTCTCAACTCAAATCAACGGACTTCAGCTTATGAGAGTTGCTATGACCAACATAGGGACCTGATACCCTTGTGTTTCCCTAACAGCAGTACGAAGTCAACTGTCTTCAGCTGGAAAGTGACTGCCTGCACTGTACATAGAAACAATGCAGAACACACTTCTCATTTGACCCACCAAGTGATTACATCATTCAAGTGATGTAATCTATGTTATATTAACAAGCATCACTTGAACACTTGTTCAAGCACTCCAACCGTTTTGCGGGCCAAACATTCAATTCTCAAGTGCATCGATAACAAAGAACAACACTACTACGGACCAATTCCTACAAGAAGTATTTTGTATGTCCTTAGTTGAGTTGTAACTTTGTAATTGTTCTTCCTTGTAATTCATACTTTGCTTATCTAGAAGAGTGATCTAGGAACCCATTGTAAACCATAAACCTTTAGTGTTTGTGTCATGACTAGAGTTAGTCATGAGTTGAAGTCTTTAATAGGTGTATTGCAAAGTGGCTTGTAATAGGTGTATTATAAGTTAGTGAGGTATTAAGAGTTTAATTCCTAGATTGCATAGGTTGTAATCTGAAATTGCTCATAGTGAAGTTGAACTCATACTAGTGTAGGTCGTGGTTTTTTATCCCCTTCAACAGAGATTTTTCCACGTAAAAACTCCTTGTTCTCTTCTCTTACTGTTAAATTAGCTTTCTCAGTGGAAACTCATACAGGACCTGATCTCTACATAATTTGGTGGACTTATATATTCTATCAATTGGTATTAGAGTGGGTTCTTTCTATCAGCTTAACACCCAGAAAGGATCTTCATGATTGCTCCACCAAATTTTGAATAAGGTCAGTCTACATATAGACCACCCAGATTCAATCGGCAATACTATGGGTGCTGGAACATAAAAATGCATGACTTCATCATGGCAGAAGATTCTGAGTTGTGGATGTTATTTGTAATGGTCCTTAAGTCCCAACGAAGAAGGTTGGAGACCCTCCTGTGATGATGCCTAAAACCAGGAAAGAATACATGACGCAGAT